GAATATGCATTGGAGCAAAGAAAGTTTGTTCAATAAATGGTGCTGGGAAAACTGGGTCGCTACATGCAAAAGAATGAAGCTTGACCACCACCTCACACCATACACAAAAATCAACTCAAAATGGATTAAAGAACTAGACATAAGACCTGAAACCATAAAATATATAGAAGGAAATATAGGCGAAACACTACGTGATTTGCACATCAAAGACATCTTTACAGACACATCACCCAAAGCAGTGATAGTGAAGGCAAAGATAAACAGCTGGGTCTACATCAAATTAAAGAGCTTTTGCACAGCAAAAGAGACAATAACAAAAACAAAGAGAAACCCCACCAACTGGGAGAACATTTTTGCACCCAACACTAATGATAAAGGACTGATCACAAAAATCTGCAAAGAGCTGATGAGACTCAACAACAACAAAGAAAATAATCCAGTCAAAAAATGGGCAGAAGAGCTTAAAAGAAACTTCTCTGAAGAGGAAATGCAAATGGCCAACAGGCATATGAAAAAATGTTCAACATCACTTGTCATCAGGGAAATGCAAATCAAAACTACCATGAGATACCATCTTACACCAGTGAGAATGGCACATATTAAAAAAACTAGCAACAACAAATGTTGGCGAGGGTGTGGAGAAAAAGGAACTCTTCTGCACTGTTGGTGGGAGTGCAAACTGGTCCAACCACTGTGGAAAACTGTATGGAGATTTCTGGACCTACTAAACATAGAGCTTCCATATGATCCAGCAATTCCACTCCTAGGTATTTACCCAAAGGACACAGAAACATCAATTCCAAAGAACACCTGAACCCCTATGTTTATAGCAGCACTGTTTACAATAGCTAAGCTTTGGAAACAACCCAAATGCCCAAAAATAGATGACTGGATCAAGAAGATGTGGTACATATATACCATGGAATATTACTCAGCATTCAAAAAAGATAAACACATGCAATTTGCAGCAACATGGATGGCGCTGGAAGGGATCATGCTCAGCGAAATAAGCCAAAAAGAAAAAGAAAAATACCGGATGGTCTCACTCATAGCAGGAATCTAGAAAACTTAAATAAAGGACCAGGAAAATGAATAACTATAAGAAAGTGAAAATCAAAATCAACAAAAAACTATGAACCAGAGACACTTTTAGGGGGGCGGGGGTGGGAGGGGAGGGATTGGGGTCAGAATGGGGGGGCTGCCATTGTATGGGGAATATAACAATAAAATTTATTAAAAAAAAATAATTAAAAAAACCTAATGCTGGATAATACCCCTAATTTTTATTCTTTTAGGTAATTAAGAGTGGCAAAATTTTCCTGTGTGCCTGTGGGGCCTTGATTAATCTCAGCTTGCAATACTTCACTTGCCAAAGAGATACATCTTGGGAAGGCCTGTTCTACATATCCTGTGGAGGCCGAGCCTTCAAAAGCAAAGAGAAAACCAATGATCCAGTGGATTTGTCTTGTTTGGACTATAAGGTGTCTAGGAGAAAAATTTTAAAAGTTGCCTGTATTGAAAAATCAGGAGAATTTGCCTAATAATTTGGTTTTTTGGCTTCTCTTTAAAAAAAATCCAGTCTCTACAAACATGAACAGATACATGAAAATCAAAATCATTCCAACTATCTTCTCTGATCATAAAGGTATCAAGCTAGAAATAAATCATGAAAAGAAAACAAGGAACCTTCCCACTTCATGGAGATTGAAATCCACACTACTGGAAGACCACTGGACTAATGAGGAGATAAAAGAAGAAATTAGAAAATACTTTGAGTTGAATGACAAGGAGGACACCACTTTCCAGAATGTATGGGATGCAGCAAAAGCAGTAATAAGAGGAAAATACAGAGCAATACAGGCTCACATCAACAAATAAGAAAGAACTCAAAGAAACAACCTAATCTCACATCTCAAAGAATAAGAAAAAGAACAACAAAAAAACCCTAAAGCCAGTAGAAGAAAGGAAATGATAAAAATCAAAGCAGAAATAAATGAATTAGAAATTAAAAAAACAATCCAAAAGATCAATGAAACCAAAAGTTGGTTCTATGAAAAAATAAACAAAATAGACAAACCTCTAGCAAGGCTCACAAAGAAAAAATGGGAGAAAGCATGTATAAATTGGATTATAAATGAAAGTGGAGAAATCACAACAGACTCAGTAGAAATCAAAAGAATAATAAGAGATTACTGTGAAAACTTATACGCAAACAAATTTAACAACCTAGAAGAGATGGACAAATTCCTAGAATGATATAATCATCCAGAGGTGGACAAAGAAGAAATAGAACAGCTAAACAGACCAATTACAAGCAGTGAAATTGAAGCAGTAATTGAAGCACTCCCCCAAAACAAAATCCCAGGCCCAGACGGCTTCAAAAATGAATTCTACCAAATGTTCAGCAGTGAATTAGTGCCTATACTACACAAACTTTTTCAAAAAATTGAAAAACAGAAAGAATACTACCAAATGCGTTCTATGAAGCCAACATTACACTAATACCAAAACCCAACAAAGATGGCACAAAAAAAGAAAATTACAGGCCAATCTCCCTAATGAATACTGATGCAAAAATCCTCAACAAAATCCTTGCCAACAGAATCCAACAATGCATCCATAAGATAATTCACCACGACCACCCATTTATGATAAAGGCCCTTGAAATTCTCAGGATACAAGAAACATACCTCAACATCATAAAGGCCATCTATGACAAGCCAACAGCCAGTATCATTCTCAATGGTGAAAAGCTGAAAGCATTCCCATTAAGATCTGGAAAAAGACAAGGATATCCACTCTCGCCACTGATTTTCAGCATAATACTGGAAGGCCTAGCCAGAGCAATAAGACAAGAGAAAGACATACAAGGATTGCAAATAGGCAAGGAAGAAGTCAAACTATCACTATTTGCAGATGATATGATAATATACATAGAGAACCCCAAAAACTCCACAGAAAAACTTATTCAACTAATCAATCAGTTTAGTAAAGTGGCAGGATACAAAATCAACATGCACAAATCAGTAGCCTTCCTATACACGAACTATAAATATGAAGAAGAAGAAATTAAAAAAAAATCCCTTTTATTATCAAAACAAAAAAAATCAAATACTTGGGAATAAATCTAACAAAAGAGGTAAAGGACCTATCCAAAGAGAACTATAAAACACTGTTAAAAGAAATAGAAGAAGACACAAAGAAATGGGAAAACATACCCTGCTCATGGATTGGAAGAATTAACATTATCAAAATGGCCATCCTATCAAAAGCAATCTACAGATTCAATACTATTCCAATTAAAATTTCAATGACATTCTTCAAAGAAATAGAACAATTATTGATGAAATTCATATGGAGCCTAAAAAACCCCAAATAGCCAAAGCTCTTTTGAAAAAGAAAGAAGGGAATGGAGGCATCACACTCCCAGACTTCAAACTATACTACAAAGCCATAATCATGAAAACTGCATGGTATTGGAACCAGAACAGACACACAGACCAATGGAATCGAATAGAAAACCCAGAAATAAACCCACAGATTTATGGTCAACTAATCTTTGACAAAGGAGCAAAGAATATGCATTGGAGCAAAGAAAGTTTGTTCAATAAATGGTGCTGGGAAAACTGGGTTGCTACATGCAAAAGAATGAAACTTGACTACTACCTCACACCATGCACAAAAACCAACTCAAAATGGATTAAAGAACTAGACATAAGACCTGAAACCATAAAATACATAGAAGGAAATATAGGCAAAACACTACATGACATGCACCTCAAAGACATCTTTACAGACACATCTCCCAAAGCAGTGATAGTGAAGGCAAAGATAAACAGCTGGGACTACATCAAATTAAAGAGCTTCTGCACAGCAAAAGAGACAATAACAAAAACAAAGAGAAACTCCACCAACTGGGAGAAAATTTTTGCACCCAACACTAATGATAAAGGACTGATCACAAAAATCTGCAAAGAGCTGATGTGACTCAACAAAAACAAAGAAAATAATCCAGTCAAAAAATGGGCAGAAGAGTTAAAAAGAAACTTCTCTGAAGAGGAAATGCAAATGGCCAACAGGCATATGAAAAAATGTTCAACATCACTTGCAATCAGGGAAATGCAAATCAAAACTACCATGAGATACCATCTCACACCAGTGAGAATGGCACATATTAAAAAAACTAGCAACAACAAATGTTGGTGAGGATGTAGAGAAAAAGGGACTCTCCTGCACTGCTGGTGGGAGTGCAAACTGGTCCAACCACCATGGAGAGCTGTGTGGAGATTCCTCAACCTACTAAAGACAGAGCTCCCATATGATCCAGCAATTCCACTCCTAGGTATTTACCCAAAGGACACAGAAACATCAATTCCAAAGAACACCTGCACCCCTATGTTTATAGCAGCACTGTTTACAATAGCTAAGCTTTGGAAACAACCCAAATGTCCAAAAATAGATGACTGGATCAAGAAGATGTGGTACATATACACCATGGATATTACTCAGCATTCAAAAAAGATAAACACATGCAATTTGCAGCAACATGGATGGCACTGGAAGGGATCATGCTCAGCGAAATAAGCCAGAAAGAAAAAGAAAAATACTGGATGGTCTCATTTATAGCAGGAATCTAGAAAACCTAAATAAGGGACGAGGAAAAAGAATAACTATAAGAAAGAAAAAATCAAAATCAACAAATAACTATGGACCAGAGACACACTATGGGGGTTGGAGGGCGGGGAAAGGAGGGCTTGGTATCAAAATAAGGGGGTTGCAGTTGTATGGGGAATATAAAAATAAAATTGAAAAAAAGAATGTTTAAAAGTAATACATATGTAGGGTAAAATCTTCAAATAATATAAACAAATATGCAGTAAAAAAAAAAAAAGTAAAAAAAAAAAGTCCAGTCTCTAGGTACCAGATAACAGAGGGTGTTGTTTGCAGTAGAGACTGCTGTGCAGGGTGGGGTGGGGTGGGGGGATTGTGGCTTCACTTACAGCAATCTTAGTTTTGATGGCTGCTAGTTTCTCCTGGGCAGCAGTGAGGTCCGTAGTGGCTTTGCTCAATGCTTGGCGCTTGGGTTCCACATCACAGAACACCTCGTAGAATCTTACAATGTTTATGACCCAAGAGCAGAGGCCCGCGGCTGCATAAGATTTGGTGGCCACGAACTCCGGATTGAACTCAGGGTCCTGCAGATATGGCCTGATGGCTTTGAGGCAGTTCTCGTGAATGTTCTCTTTGTCAAAATTGATTAGGGAGTCCAGAAAACCATCCACTTTGGCCATGGTGACCTTAGCAGCCTTCCAGCTTCGGTCCTTGGGTACCTTGCCCCCTGGGGCCATGAGAGCCATAACCGCAGCGCTGACATTGCTGACAGCCAGAGGTGGAGAACCAAAAGACTTCAGTTCTGTCAGGTTGGTCTGAGGAAAGACAAGGAGGTCATTAGAGGAAAATGAATGGACTTTCTTTGTCCTCGGCCACTAATGGAGTTAGGCTCTGAAGTGATCAATCTGAAAGAGTTGCTTTGAAACCTGCAGCAGCCCTCTGAATTTTAAATATCATGACTCATCAAAATGAAACCACAGCTACTCCCCAGTGACTTCAAACTTTCCCAAATGGTTAGCTGAGACTCAGCTATGTTCTTTTAGCACTTTAACTGACTTTCAGTCCAATAGAAACAATCATTTCACATTCAAGTGAAAAAATATAAGGATGCCAAGATACTCTGAAATACGCAGCATGCCATGAATAAAATATAAGGTTATTATAAATTAATTTCCATCTTGGATTGAAGAGAATAGCACTGTAACCCAACTAATTTTTTTCCTTTAATTAAACTGCTTTGTTTCATGAGCTTATTCTAACTACACTTGACTGTCCTGATAGCAATGTGGCATTTTCTGCCAAGAACAGATTCAGACAGAAAGGTAGTTACATCCTGTACGGTGGCTGTCTCTGTCTACATGAGGGTTTGTCCTTTGCTTCAAGTTTACTGGCACCAGAAAGATATGAAAAGACTTGATCTTGGCACATCATTTAAACTTTCTAGGCCTCAGTATTTTCACCTGAAAATCTGGAGCCGGTGGCCCCATTAATCTGTAGGTGAAATGAGGTCATAGATGCAGACGAATTTGACTTAAGTTTTGTTGTGACCATCAATGAAGAGTTTCTTTCCTCAAAAGCACTTGCTTTGGCGCTGATTTTGTAAGTGTGGGGGAAACTTGATTTTGAAGATTGGATCCTTGTGCCAAGTTAATCTGGGGTGCTTTTGGATCTGGAAATCTATAAGCGAGGAGAATTCTAGTGCCTAATGGAAACACCTGGGAAATGCTCCATTTGCTTTCACAACTGTTCTCTCATTTGGTCATGACAATCCTGTCAGGGGCAGGAATGAAGGGCTGCATAGGTTTGGGAGGTGAACTAGCCTACCTGCTGTAGTGGCCTCCATGGGGAGAAAGAGTGAGAAAATACAATCAGAAACAAAATCCCAACAATTTGAAAATAGTTTAAGTTTAGCATGTATTGAATCAAGAAAATATAAAAATATATGATGAAATTGAATTCTATAACCCAGATATGTCATTGTTAATATTTCAATATAAATTTTCCAGCCTTTTATATTCATATATATAGATCTATAAACTAATAATGACTGTTGGTTTTAGTGACCAAAAACGTAACTGAAGTAAGTACAAAGAATTTTCTGTATATGGGGAGGGTGGACTTGGAGTTGGCTCTAAGGAGGTGTGCAACTGCCTTTTAAACATTTAAACACGTTGCCTCTGGTAATTATTCATTTTTTTTCTTTTGAAATTAAAAAAAATTGTTAGTGATGTTCAGTGATAATATGGGGGGAGACATTTGAGAAAAGTGTAGCTGATTTCATCACTGTGTCAAAGTCATGAAGGGTAATTTCACAAACTAGATGGCCTGACCTGCTACACACCTAGGATACCCCCAAGGGGTAGCCCTTGGGGACCACTGCTATATGTGGTGACATGTGACTTACAGAAATTTAGTTTTATGTAGTCAAATTTGGTAACTTTTTCCCAAATGATCTTCTTTGTTTTTGCTTAGAAAGTCCTTCTACAGATATTAAAATTGATCTGATCTTATGGTAACTTCTAGTTCTTTTATAGTTTCATGTCTTTCTTATCCTTTTTTTTTTTTAAGATTTATTTATTTATTTATTTATTTATACAAGAGGTGGGGTATAGGCCAGATCCACGGAAGGGTGAGAGGTTTCACCGAGACAGAGCGGGGAACAGAACAGGCAGACTGACGAAATGCACTGCTGAGGGGAGCAGCGGTTGCAACGGGAGAGTTCTGCGGAGTCATGTGGGACCCTCGCCGGCTGGCCTGAATGGAACCGGTGCTGCAGAGGCTGCAGACAGCTTCACAGCGCTGCGCTCAACTGCCTGCGCCACCAGGGGAGGCCCACTTTCCATTCTTAACTATTTTACAAATAACACTGTTTTGTACTTTTATTAAAAGAGTAAATATTTCTTGTGAAATATTTAGCAAAGATAAAGGTGAAAACAAGAATCATTCATAATTTTACTATCCAGAGATAAATATTAGTTATAGCTAGCTATCTAGAAAAAAACATAATAAATTAGTATGTATGAACATTTATGAAAATATCTGTATCATTCATATATACATATACATCACGTACATACTATTTTTTATATTCAACAAAACAGTAACTTTTCAGTCACTGTTTATACTATTTTTTGAATATGATTTTCATTGAAAATTTTATCTTAAACTTTTTCATCATTAATATTTTTGGCAAACATGATTTTAAATCATGTTTGCACAGTTTTATCTCATTTAGATGGGCCATAATTTATTTAGCCACTACCATTTGTTAGACAGTTTATTAAATCTTTATAAATGAATTATAGGACATAAACTTTGAATGTAATTAAAAACAAATAAACCAATAATGGAAATTGGACTTTAGATTTACATTTAACTTTGCAATTATTTGATTAGAGAGTGAGTAGTGATATTTATAACATTGAATGTTCCATATATAAACTTCCATACACACACATACACACACACTCACACACACACACTTGGTGTGTATATATATATATATATATACACACACAAAACAAAGATATGTAATTTTATTTACATAGTCTCAACAAATTTATTTATGCTTATTTGTAGCTAATGCTCTGATTTTATTTTGAAAATACTGTATTTCCTAACTGGCCACTGATGATATTAGGAAAACTATTAAGTTCTGTAATTATTTTGTAATGGGCTGTTAGCCCTTCCTTTTAATTTGTTTTATTGTATTTTGATGACATCTATGAATAATAATACATTTGTCTGTCATTTTAAAATATTTACATAATTACCATTTTCATTTATTATTACTTTGGCTAGATAGTCTATGACTTTTTTTTTTGTATTAGTATGGAAGTGGGTATTATTGTGTTTCTTCCCTGTTAATGGGAATGACTCTGATCTTCAATCATTAGAAAGGAGGTTTTGCTCTTAGATTGGGATTGGTTGCTATTAGCAAAATATTCAAATAAATCTTTTATTTCTACTTAACTAAGAGTTTTAATAAGGAATGGAGGTTGACAATTACACACAGCAAAATTAAAATGGTAATCAAAAACCTCCCCCAAAACAAAAGCCCAGGACCTGATGAATTTACAAATGAATTCTACCAAACATTCAGAGACGAATTAGTGCCTATCCTTCACAAACTCTTCCAAAAAATTGAGAAGGAAGGGATAATACCAAACACGTTCTATGAAGCCAACATTACACTAATACCAAAACTGAACAAGGACAACACAAAAAAAGAAAACTACAGGCCAATCTCTCTAATGAACACTGATGAAAAAATCCTCAATAAAATTTTAGCTATCAGAATCCAACAATGTATCCATAAGATAATTTACCATGACCAAGTAGGATTCATTCCAGGGAGAAAAGGATGGTTCAACATCCGAAATTAAATCAACATTATCCAACACATCAACAAAAAGAAATATAAAAACCATATGATAATATCAATAGATGCTGAGAAAGCATTTGATAAAGTGCAAAACCCATTCATGATAAAAGCCCTTGAAATTCATGGGATACAAGGAACATACCTCAACATCATAAAGGCCATCTATGACAAGCCAACAGCCAGCATCATTCTCAATGGTGAAAAGCTGAACTGAAAGGCCTAGCCAGAGCAATAAGACAAGAGAAACACATACAAGGAATCCAAATAGGAAAAGAAGAAGTTAAACTATCACTATTTGCAGATGATATGATAATATAATAGAGAACCCCAAAAACTCCACAGAAAAACTAATTCAACTAATCAATCAGTTTAGTAAAGTGGCAGGATACAAAATCAACATGCACAAATCAGTAGCCTTCCTATACACAAACTATAAATCTGAAGAAGAAGAAATTAAAAAAAATCCCTTTTATTATCAAAACAAAAAAAAATCAAATACTTGGGAATAAATCTAACAAAAGAGGTAAAGGACCTATCCAAAGAGAACTATAAAACACTGTTAAAAGAAATAGAAGAAGACAAAGAAATGGAAAGACATCCCCTGCTCATAGATTGGAAGAATTAACATTATCAAAATGGCCATCCTATCAAAAGCAATCTACAGATTCAATACTATTCCAATTAAAATTTCAATGACATTCTTCAAAGAAATAGAACAATTATTGATGAAATTCATATGGAGCCATAAAAAACCCAAATAGCCAAAACTCTTCTGAAAAAGAGAGAAGGGAATGGAGGCATCACACTCCCAGACTTCAAACTATACTACAAAGCCATAATCATGAAAACTGCGTGGTAATGGAACCAGAACAGACACACAGACCAATGGAATTGAATAGAAAACCCAGAAATAAACCCACAGATTTATGGTCAACTAATCTTTGACAAAGGAGCAAAGAATATGCATTGGAGCAAAGAAAGTTTGTTCAATAAATGGTGCTGGGAAAACTGGTTGCTACATGCAAAAGAATGAAACTTGACTACTACCTCACACCATGCACAAAAACCAACTCAAAATGGATTAAAGAACTAGACATAAGACCTGAAACCATAAAATACATAGAAGGAAATATAGGCAAAACACTACATGACATGCACCTCAAAGACATCTTTACAGACACATCTCCCAAAGCAGTGATAGTGAAGGCAAAGATCAACAGCTGGGACTACATCAAATTAAAGAGCTTCTGTACAGCAAAAGAGACAATAACAAAAACAAAGAGAAACCCCACTGACTGGGAGAAAATTTTTGCACCCAACACTAACGATGAAGGACTGATCACAAAAATCTGCAAAGAGCTGATGTGACTCAACAAAAACAAAGAAAATAACCCAGTCAAAAAATGGGCAGAAGAGCTAAAAAGAAACTTC